AGGTTTTTTTTTTTTTATGGGCCAAGAGATTAAGAGGTAGAACTGAGGGCAGCCTTTCTCATTTAGGGTAGTTGTTACTCAGGACCCAGAACTGGCTACATAATTTGCAGGATCCAGTGCAAAATGAAAATACAGTGCCTCATGTTCAAAAATTATTAGGAATATCAAGACTGCAGCAGCAGAGCATTAGACCAAGTATGGGACACTATAAGACCGCACAGATCGAACACTCACGAAGTCTGTCTTGCAGGTGCTTTTTGCAAAGAGGAAAGTATACACTGAAGAACAAAGAATTTAGCTTCCCAACAAATGACTTTCCCAAACCCACATCCCTACTTTATACAGGCTAACACGTTTCTCCTCACCCCCTTAGTTGGGGCTGAGGGAAAGAAAATGCTGTTGGCACGGTCTTTTATATGCTTTTGGCTTATGAACCTTGAAGGATAATGGCAGCAACTAGAATTGAGTTTGTTTATCCATCTCATACTTCTGCACCCCTTGGGCCATATGCATCCTCTTCCTACCTCGCCACTGGGACCACCGTCTCCATCACCAGCTTGTTAATAATGGTGGTAGGAATGTTGGGCTTATCTGTTTATGTCATTTTTATCGCTACTGCTTTCCTGAATGAGCTCATAGCTACAATTGCATGCCCACCTTATACAGGCCAACTAGATGGAGAAGAAATTTTCTTCCCTCTAGTAGGGCTATAGCATGCCTCTTATTTTGGATGTGTATAATCTGGCCATTATACTAAGTTTGACTTTACCCTAAATATGCCAACAACCAGTTAGGAACAAAACAGAAGAAATAGGGCTTTTGATTAAACGGGCAGGGAAGGGTGATTCCAAATAACAGTATTTTGGTGGTGAATGTTAATTTAGTTATGATGTTAGTTCTTTACCATAGAGGCTTCAGATGTTTTTAAGAAATAAATCTCCATTCTTTGAGGTCATTTGTGTAGTGAATTAAAAAGAAAATGAAATTCATTGAAGCAGTTATTGTATATAATGGGCAGAAAGGTGGAAGTGGCAAAAGGACTTATGTTAGAGCCCAAAGTAAATTACTTTTCTTCTATGTATAAAACTAATGTCTCAGAAAGCAGATTTGAATTTGTATCTGTCGTATTATTTATTGATTTGCTTTTTGCTGATCCAGTTGAGTTCTTCAGGCACAATTGTTGTTTTATTGTTGTATTTTGTAGCATAGCAGTATGATGTTCTTTTTGAGGGCTCATAAGTCTGCTGTATTTCTGTCTCATTCCTATTTGATCAAAACAGCTGTTTTACTGAAAGGTATATTCTGAAAAAATTTTTATATGACCTTACAGCTCAGCTCAATTCATTCTTCTTACAAGTAAAATATTACTACCAGTAGCAATGTAGATCTTTTATAAATCAGATAACTTCAAAGGTTTTTTTTTTATAGTCTTCCGGTTAAAACTGATCACTTTAAACATTTCCTGCCACCCTAAATAGGAAGATCTGAGTAACTGGGTTTATTCATTTCTAAAGAAGTATTTATACTCAAGAAAAAGAAAATTAAGAATTTCTAAAACTAATCAGTATTTTTTGTAAATTTCAAGTATAGAAACAATGTTAGATTTAAAATACTTTGGAACAGAAAAACGGTATGTGTGTGTTTTGATTTTTGACAGTACCAAGTAAGTGCAAATAAAATTCTATTGTAAAGAAAGGCTTTGTATAAAGTTATCTATTTGACAGATTATTCATATAAACAACTTCAATAAACCTTAGGCTATTTGTCAGAAATATTGATGAGCCGCATTATACTAAAACTGACTGTGTTAGTGATGTTGTTTTTAATGTTCTAACAATTCCTGGTACAGTCCATAATAAAACTGCTTTTCCCTCTAGAGACAATAAAATCTGTTAAATGAGAACATTTGTATAATAGACATGTTTGTACATCATCTTTTTCATTTAGTGGAACATTTTGGAATATTCTTTTTTTTTAATACAGATTTTTCTAAAATTTTGGGCAGTATTGTAGGGGTGATGGTTGGATGTTGATATTAGAAAAAATTATTCCTGTCAAATGTATTCATATTTTACTTCCTAAAATAAATGACATTTCAAGGGGTAAGAAATTTTAAAGTGATGATGGAGATATTAAGATATGGAGATACTTATGTGTAATTACCAGAGTCCCCTGGTTTTTAATATCTTAACTTTATGGACAAGTTTCCAAGGATTCCCAGTTCATGTGATTCCCTAAACTTATGTGGAACTCAGGATACTGGAGATTCTCAATCATATTCTGACAGAGTTGTCCTACTTTCCAAAGTCATAATACCTTCAAATACTAATTACTACAAAAACTATGGTATTCTCACTTAAAATTTAGATCTGATCATTCATAAAAACAGCCATAAACTTCAGAGTTTCTAGAGTTCATATAGCATCAAAAGTCAGAAAAAAAAATGTTTTCCCTCTATTAAAGTCAAAAACATTTCTATACCCGAGTAAACATTTCCAGTTCCTTTTTTTTTTTTTTTTTTTCTGCTGTACGCTGGCCTCTCACTGCTGTGGCCTCTCCCGCTGCAGAGCACAGGCTCCGGACACGCCGGCTCAGCGGCCATGGCTCACGGGCCCAGCCGCTCCGCGGCATGTGGGATCTTCCCGGACCGGGGCACGAACCCGTGTTCCCTGCATCGGCAGGCGGACTCTCAACCACTGCGCCACCAGGGAAGCCCTCCAGTTCCATTTTTTAAAGTATCACAGCATCTAAATGTAACTTAAATGCTTTGTAACTGATAAAACATTCTTTTGCGTACTTCCCCATCACCCTCTGTCCTTCTCCCTCAATTTGCTTTACACACCTAACATTAGCATTCTGTGAACAAATATTTAACGGATTGTTAAAATGTATTTTATTTGTATCCTACAGTAATTTATTTACATTTTAAAAGGAAATTTGAATACAGTGTGGCAATTTTGACAACCAGCAAGCTCATCAAAGTAAGATTCTATCTGTAATCTCATGATCTACCAAATGCTTGCTCTGTTCCACGTAACAGTGACAGGGATTGTGTGTAGTTTACCTTATAGATAGGGAAAGAGTAGCTGACATCTAGTAGCACTTAGCCCTTTGAGTTCCTTAAACTCTTTACTTCTAGTGTATGGATTTCTTTAAAATTCACCTAAATTCAAATTGCTCACCAAAGCAACTAGGAAAAAGAAAGTGCTGACTACAGAGTATGTGTTACCTCATTCTTCTTACTGGTTATGAAGGAACCTAGTTTCTACATAGAAGCTAGACTGGCCAGTGAAGAATTTAAGTGTGACTGCTAGCAACATTCATTTAAACAAATGATACAGAAGTGTTCTACAGGAACTATAGTGTATATTACATAGTGGTAGAACAGATTTATGTTCATATGCTGTCTAAATGTCAAAGGTTAAATTGCTGGGTTTTTCTTTATTTTTCACTCCAGAAGTATTTGTTGAGTTCCTACTATGTGCCAGACTCTTGAATGAGCTAACTAATGAGAACCTTTTAAGATTTTTCTGTTCCAGATTTTGGTTGTTTAACTTTGAAGTAGCCATTCTTTAATACTTAACTTGACTTCCTATATAGTTCTTTACTTATTAGATTCTTCTTCTGAGGATAAACAGAGAAAGACTGTAAGACCTAGATTTTACTTTTAAAGAGGCAGGTGACAGGAAGCGAAAAACAGTGGCTTGAATGAGATTTAGGCTTCTCATGGTTTTTAATTTTCTGTATGACATTTCTGTTAGCATTGCCACTTGACTACTGTAAGAAACTATGTTTATTGGTTTTATAATAGTAGCATCTATTCTTTTGGAACCCAGACTTCGAACAGTTCATTTCACGCAATCATTGAATAGCTAGTTCCTATTCTCTCTTACCTAGAATTTTTCCAGGGGATTTCATGTGACGGGTTAACAGAAGAAAAGCCATTTGGACAACTCTTCTGTTACATTTGTTTCCCTCCCCCTTGGATCCCTAGAGATAAATTCTTACCATCTCTTCCTGCTAATTGACCAGCAGCACCCTGGAATACTATCATCCCTTTGTCTAAAGGAATGGCGTAGTTTTATTCAAAGAATAAAATGTTATGTCCTGTCTATTCCTACCTATAAAAAATACCTTTTTTCTTTATTAAATTAGGTTTTTTTTGTAATAAATGATTGAAGGAAAAGTCAAGTAACAGAAAAATTTCAAGAACAGTTAGCACTAGAATTTTGGTCCACTTTAATGTAAAAATCTTGTTTTCCCCTTTTTAATCACAATTTTAAAATAAGCTATAGGAGAAAATATAAAAGGAAAAAAACTAACAAATAGCAGTTAACTTCTGGTCCATTTATGAACTTATGTGAGGTAATCTGGATCTGTATTTGTTTTCTAGGAAAATAAAACATGTGCTTGTTTATGCAATACAGATTGAGTTTAAAAATGAAAGTTGAGCATTGTTTGCCCTTTCAGATGTAGGGCTAGCATATAATTTTAAGAGCTATTTATTATTATAAAATTCAAAGTGAATTGGTATATAAAATTGATTTTTCATTGAACTTTTTACTATTTTCAAAGCATGTGAGATCTGATTAATGGAGAAGTAATCAAATGCAAACTCAATGATCTCACATAAAAGGTTATAGTTTTCCTGGAAATAAGATTTAACCAGATGTTAATGTATATATATGATCATAAGAGAAAAGATTACATTGCTGTAATAATTGACCAATTTAGTCATTTCAAGTTATTTTAGTTACATTTTCTCAGTTCTAGTTTGATATGGTAAAGCATTATTTGAAAAAGGAGTGCAGGAAGAGTGTATGCTGATAATATTACTGCTGTTAGAGAACCAGCTGCAACTTAGTGCATGCTTTAGGGAATACAAATGAGTACAGACTTTTTCTAACTTGATTTAGATGGTCTGACCTCCCTAGAAGTATAGTATGTATATATACTTGGAATATATGAGAAATGTTAAGTCTTTTTCTTCCCTTTTTTAGCTTTAGATTGTAAGCAAAAGAAATCAAGGTCAAGATCCGGAAGCAAGAAGAAAATGCTAACATTACCTCATGGTGCTGACGAGGTTTACATTCTCCGATGCAGGTACATGCCTATATTGCCAAATCGGCTCAGTTTCTTCAGATTTTGCTTTGAGACATATTAGCTATTTTATTCGGGATTTTTAGTTTGTGGCAGAAGGTGCATTCTCAAAAATCAAGTTACAAATGAACTTTTGGAGACAGACTTAAAATCTTATATGGCTCATAATATGCTATACTTCAACAACTAATGAATCAAGGTTTTTACATTAGCTAGGATACTGTGATTTGTAAAAGTGTCTTTTGTTTTTGTTGTGTTTTATTTGTGTGCTTTGTTTGGTTTAATTTGATATTTTTTTAGTTGTCTTGAGTTCCTGCTTATTGGGAATATATTTTCTCTCCACTCATACTTCTAAGTGTAGCTATACAAACTCATTCACACCTTCCGTACTCATCTTCATGCAGTTTAAGAAATTCTGAATTGAATTTCAAAAGTGGTCTTTTGAAAAGAATAGTGCATTTTGGGATTAAGAGTTGTTTTAAATATATTAAGATGTGTAGATGTTAAGACCTTTTAATTAATTTTGACCTAATAGTAATGTTCCCATCTCTACAAATATTAGTGGAGTTATTATGAATTGGCAGTTTTGATATTGTATTAAAGCATTTTGACTTTATAGGTGTTTAGAAACTATTGTCAAGTACTATCTCCAGTACAGAGTAAAGGTTGCTCCTGTGTTTATGGATTTTATGGGAATTGGTTTTAAATAAAGGGAATTGGTCATGTTAAGAGAACTTATCAACTTCTTCTCTAGGTTTTGTGGCCTAGTCTTTCGTGGACCATTGTCTGTTCAGGAAGACTGGATTAAGCACTTACAACGACACATTGTAAACGCTAATCTTCCACGGACTGGAGCTGGCATGGTGGAAGTCACGTCACTACTCAAAAAGCCTGCCTCCATTACAGAAACTTCATTTTCTCTACTAATGGCAGAAGCAGCTTCATAGAACAAGAAAACCTTTTAAATAGCAAATTTGAATTGGATGTAAATTTGAAATTCTTTGTCTTTTTTTTAAAGCCACATTAAATTATCCGTTTATAAATACTAAAGCAGGAAAATGGGGAAAAGTGAATGACAGTGACATCAGAGCAAAGTGAGTGCTTCAAACAGTAAGTAGTCTCTATATTTTGTATAGGATGGGAGATGTGTTTCTGAGGTTTACTACGTTTTGTCAGTTAACTGTGTTCACTCAATGATAGATCAGTACACGTAAGCAGTCACTAATAAACTGTTGCACATGGATACTTAAAGACAGACTTATTGGAAAATTATGTTTTCTGCAGTGTTACCAGAATCAAGGTTCTGTTTATTCCCCACAAGACTTGCATTGAAAATTAAGATATTATATTTTGTTTGTATATATTTAGTGTTTTGTATAATACCAGGAACCGCTAACTAAATTTACTCAACTTAGGGCATTAAATATCATGTACTTCATAGTTTGAGACTGTTCACTCAAATAGGGCAGAGTACTATTCTATCTAGATGTGTAAGTGTTTTTTTAAAATCACATGGAACGGTTTTTTTTATACTAAAAAGTGGAGGGAGATTTGTTTAAACAAGTATTTCTAAAAGAAATATGTACATAGTCCTGGAAATTATTCATGGTAAGGAAATATTCTTTACTCCAGTTGCATTTCTCAGACAATAAAGTGGTGCATCCATGCTACCTCCTACTTTGTCAACAAAGATGCTATTTACCCTTTACATTTTTGTATCATAATAGATTTAAAAAATCTAATGTTCTTTATTGCAAGACATCCTTTTGTTAACAGATTTGTTTCTTTTTAATGTTTTACCTAAAATTTGACATGCTTACAGGACAGGTTTGCCTCTTACTTTATTTAACATTGTAGAAATGTAATTAATAAACAATGCTCACTACACAGTTTAGAATAGGCTTTCTCATTTATATTCTCCTCCAAATTTGATCAGTTAGCAAAACTTAATACACCAATTGAAATATTTCTACATATGATGAGAATGTTTACAATTTAAATTTTAGAACTTGTTTTGGATGTGACTATATGTACGAAAATCGTGTAACACTATGCTCATGCTAAGAACCGACATAATGGAATTACTGAAATAAATGTGCTGTGAGGAATGGAAAATATGGTGCAGATGTCTTGGTCATGATAAATTGTGATTCTCCTTTTAAACTCTTCCCAAAAGCAAATTAATTATTTTAATCTGAAATTAAATTCCTTTACAAATGACAGTTTTTGTATGCAAGCACCATTTCATTTTATTTCATGTAGTATGGCTAATACTATAGTTGAAACAAGGATATGCATTGATACTTTTCTTCGTATGTAAATAAAGTTAAGAGCAGTTAAAATAAGGAGTATTTTGGTAGAGTATATACATACCTCACTGCCAGTGAAATTGCTTTCCTATGGTATATCTCCTTACCAGAAAAATCTCTAAATAAAAAAAGACTTAAAGAAAATTATAATGTCTATAGTGTGAAACATTTCTTATTTTTATCACTGGTGGAAATGGTCCACTTGAAGTTGTGTTTCATTTGATTTATGTTGTTTATACTTAGCAGGTTACTTTATTCACATACTTTATATGTAAAATTAGGAAATTGAACAAAATGGATCATTCCCAACCAATGGTCTCCTGATCCCTGGGTTACTAGATAAGGGGAAAAGTACTTGTAAGTTATTCTCATTTTTCCAAAGGCCTCATAGAAACTGTTTGCTTCTCTATAATGGTGAGTCTAACTAAAACATCAAATTTCTTAACTTTTGACTGAAAATGTACCAAGTCTGTGTATACCAGTATTCTCTTACTGAATAAGTTTCATTGGTATGAATATATTCTATATTTAAATAGAATATATATTTTTCATTGGAAGTCATACTACTACATAGCAAGTACAGTTCAGAAATTAAGGGAAAAAAAAAGATTCCTGGTGGGAAGACTAGCAATCACTAGAGGCCCTTTCAACTCTAATGTTTATAGTTCTTTGATTTAATTAAGCCAACTATCAAGATGTAGGAATATAAGTAGGTAGTTTGACCACAGATTTCATAAGCAAACCTAGATTACATTTTTTATGTTAAACTATTTCTAAAACAATATTTCTCCTTCTGGCTATAAAAAGAATTAAATCATCAAAATACAATAATTCAAATTGGAAACAGTAAGCTAGAGGGATTCCTGAAAAGTTAATTAAACAAAGAACATTTTTCATAATAAAGATATTTGGGTTTCAAAATTTTAAAAACTTCTTAGGGAGCAAAGTTTGTCTTTTATTTGGCAACTAGAAAGTTAATGATATATTTTAATTTGGCTTCCACTGAAAGAAAGTTATAAAATATTGTCTTAAGTTACATGATAGAGTTTCATGTTAAAACATGCACTATTTCAGTATTCAGTATTGCTGAATTTTCTTTTATAATTCCTTTATTATTGCCTAAGATGTTTGAGCCTCTTTTGTATTTGAGCTTCTTTTTCTTGTTAAAAGCATTGATTTATTTAATAGCATCAAGACAAAAAAAGTTAACTTCTTCAAAAGTAGTATTTTCCACTATGCTTCTTTAGAATATATTAGAACCATGGCATAGCTATAATATCTCTATTTTAAATTTCACATGCTTAGTTACGGGTTAGAGGGAATGATAGTTTTTCAGTAGTAATTTAATTAGACAAAGTTTCTTTTAAGGACATACACATAACCTCTCAGGGGCTATACAGTTAAAACATACTGGTCCAAAATATAGCTTTGATTTTTTTTTTTCCTTCACTAAATGATTGTAATATATGCTCATTTTAGAAATACTAAGAAAATGAAAAAGTAAAAAATGGGGAAAATCACCTGTGGTATTATGACTCAAACACATTTACTTTTTTTTTTTTTCTTTCTTTCTGTATATGATCTTTATTACATTCTGGTAGTTTTTGTCAATTCCTATTTCGGGTACATTTGTCACAATGGAGTACTGAATACAGTTTATCTGCATCATTACATATGACTGTCTATGACCTTCATTCTGAAACACATTTACTTTTAACAGCTTGTTATGGTTCTCATATTGTTTCAATATAGTTATGAATGTAATAATATTGTAATTTATCCCAGTATCCCATTTTCCCAAGTTTATTTGAAATTTAAGTACTGCATTGTATAGACTAACCTTTGAATACTCAATCTTGAGCATTTTCCACCAACAACAACCAGTTCTCTGATTCTCCAGACACCAGTTCGGTGTCCAACAGTTCAAGTCAATTCTGACATTAACTACCTGGAGTTAGTGTCAGACTCCATGGGCTAAAGGGCTCAGTCCCACAAGACTGCCCACACTTGAGATGCCACTCACAAGTATCAGGTCACCCATACTTGTGATCAGCTGGCTATAAATCAAAGGTTGCCACAACCCACTCTTCAGGTTCAATAATTTGCGAGAGTGGCTCAGAGAACTCAGAAAAATACTTGACTTTAACAGTTTATTATAAAGAACATAACTCAGGAACAGTGAAATGGAAGAGATGCATAGGGCAAGGTATGCTGGGAAGGAGGTGGCATGGAGCTTCCATGCTTTCTCTGGTGCGCCACCCTCCCAGCACCTTGATGTGTTCGCCAACCCAGAAGCCCATCCCTTAGGGGGTTATTATGGAGGTTTCATTATGTAGGCATAATTAATTAAATAATTGGCCATTGGTGATTAACTCAATCCCTAGCTCCTTTCCTTTCCCTGGAGGTTTCGGCAGGGTAGCGGGACAAAAAACTCCAACCCTCTAATCATGCCTTGGTCTTTCTGGTGACCCACTCCCATTCTGAAGCTATCTGGGGGCCCCCAGCCACCAGTCATGTCATTAGCTTATGAAGACACTCTCATCACTCTGGAGATTGCAAGCGTTTTAGGAGATGTATGCCAGGAGCCAGGGACAAAGACCAAATATTTATTTTCTATTATATCACGCTAGATGTAAAGCCTCTATGTGACAAAAACTAGTCAGCATCAATGATATTTCAAACCATGGACTATAATTAAGCATTTACCCCTGGTATGGAAGGTAGCTATCCAATTTATTGCAAAAATGGGAACTTGTTTTCTTATTCTGAGGGCCAGTCAAGTTCAGTTATTGATCTTTAGTCAATAGCTCGTAACTTTAATTTCTCGATTCTTTAGCCTACATTATAGACATAGGTACAACCTTCATTTTTCTTGATTACTTTGATTACAAATAATTGAATAATACTTTTAATTGCTTAGGTGTAAACAACAGTAACAAGTAAAACTTACAGAATTGATACCTCATTCTTACATTAAGTCAGAGGTCAAGGTGAACAAAGAGTGGGATATAATCTAATAAATAATCACTAGGGTTTTTCCTTTTTATTAAAGTTTTAGACAAGAAAAAATATATGAACTTCCTCCACAGTAAAAATTTGTCATATTTCTATTCTAGTCTTGTTCTTCTATTTTATAGACTTTTCCTTTTTAAAAAAACACAAGATCATGCTGTGTAGAAATTAACCCTTTATTCTCTTAGATGTAGATCCACAAGCATTTTCATACCACTACATATTATTCTTAAATATACTTTCAATTTTTGCATAATGTTCCATTGTACCACATAGTATTTACACCTACATTGTTGATCATTTTATGTTGTCTCTAGGATTTTGGAATTATAAAGAATGCTTTTGACGAACATTTCTTGCAGTACATTGTACACATCCAAAATTATTTTGTTAGGATGAACTTCTAGTAGTAGAATTGGTAGATTAAAGAGTTGGATATCGCTCACACATTTGAGGCTTTATATATGAATTTCCAAATTGTTATACAGGGAGGCCATTATAACTTTATGCTCCTACCTGCAGCTTATGAGAATGGCTTACAATTCCTTTCGTCCTTGCCAGTGTATTTTTAAAATTTTGCTTGTTTAGTAGGTAAAAAGTAGTGTCTTGTTCATCTTTAAGTGACAAATGAAAACAAAGTAAGTTAATTTTTTATCACAAAGGCATTAACTTTCTGATTTAAAATAATAAAAATACATATGAACATGTTTTACTAGATAATGTGTCTAAAATAACTTCAACTTTGATTTTGTCATTCGCCAGTGGTATAATAGAGAGTATAAGTGCCTTTATACTTTGTAGTCTTTCAAGAGATCTTTGACTATTATTTATTCCAAAAGTTTGTTTGTATATCAATATGCATTCTTCTGTGAGTTCCATAGCACTTCTCAGATACTCAGAATGGGCCGTGACACCTCTTCCTCCCCAAAAAGTAAAGAATAGCTACTTTAAAAGTATTATGTGTTGCCATATCAACTCTCAGATGGTTTATATTTTTTATTATAATTCTAGGCAAATTCCCAAAAATCTTCTGGCACAGGTTTCTTGTTTTTATATGGTTGGAAGAAGAGATAGTGTGAATTATTTTGCTTCTTCTGAACAAATTGGTAAAAAAGATTATTATTTGTTTTTTTAAAGATATAAACCTAGAGAGTTGGTTTTTTCTTAAGCTATTAAGGTCAGCCTCTGGAATTTTATTTTTCTATTGACGAGTTTGGCAAATTTCAGCAAATACTTTAAGGAGCTTTTCGATAATGTTTAGTCCCATTTACAACTGAAAACTTCAGAAAAAATTTAAACTTCATTTATAAAGTCAACATATTGTTTCTATTTTGAGAATCTCAGTACCCTGATTTAAGACCTTCTGAAGTATATAAATATCTCTTATAAATACAATAGATTAAACTCTTAATAAACGTGTAGAACCTTAAAGTCTCATGAATATTTCAATGCCTTGTATAACTTAGTAACATTTTTACTTAAAAATCACAAGTCAAAGTTGATTACTCAACTACACATTTTAAGTTGAATTTGGAAAGCTGAACTGTTAGTCTAATAGGCCAAATTTTCTTAAATATTATAAATACCCCCAATTTTTAAAGCCTGCACAGATTGCTTCTTGCCAGATTATTTTTTGAGGTGAAGTTCATAAACATGTTACCATTTAAAGAAATATTGTAATTACTACAAGAACAGAATGTAGAACATTGCCAGCACCCCCAGAAACCTCCATGTTCTCCACCCCAGTTAAATTCTCTCCCTCCCATTACCATTATTCTGACTTTTCTAATAATCGTTTGTTGGCTGTTTTTAAGTTTGACTTCCTAGGAATGCATATAGTTCAGTTTTGCCTGTTTTTGTATTTTACAGAAATGGAATTATACCACAAGTATTCTTTCGTGACTTGCCCCCTTTGGTTAACGTTATCTTTGCATTTCATCTCTGTTCTTCCCATAGCTGTAGTTTATTCATTTTCATTGTTG